CGTCCGGCCGAGGCACCGCACGGCCCGCAGGCCCGCGCGCAGGATCCCGGTGGGGGCTCGCAGGATCCCGGCGCGGGCGCGCAGAGCGCCGACCTGGTGGTGGTCCCGGCAGGACGGAGCAACCTCCCACGGAACAGAATGGCGGCCTCCCGGGGTCTACCTACCCCAGACACCCCACCCCGCGTAGCCTCTGTGCTTCTTCGTTGGATTTGGGTGTGTTTTTTAGTTTTTTAGGGGTGTGGGGTTGAGTTTTGCCCCGTCCACAGCCCTTCTCTTCAGTTCACCTAATTATATTTACACTATAATTCTTGTTGTTGGGTGCAAACTAGGAAACACAGACATATGTGGAGAAAAAAAATACCCTTTATCCAGCGCCACGGATTTCTAAATGTAGGCCATTCCAATCTTTTCTATAAAACAAAATCCAATTGCACACATTATTATCATTGCTTTTTTGAATTAAAATTATTGTTACTCAGAATCTGAGGGTAACTTTAACTTGAGAAGGAACATTTACAGTGGGTGGAAGTGTGGCTCAAGTGGTAGAACATCTGCTTTGTGGAATACAAGGCCCTGAGTTTAAATTCCAACACACACACACACACACACACACAAACACACTCCAGTGGTCTTCCAAGGCCGTACTTACTGGTGAGAAATGATAAAATAATTTTCCTGCCAGGGATTCCTCCCCGTGGCTCTTTACTGTGAGAAACGATCAATCTCCTGCCAGGGATTCCTCCCATGGCTCTTTTTCAGCATCCAGCTGGGTGCTCCCAGCTATTGAAGTTTGACAAAAAAAAGGAATCAAAGTCCTGCCAATTGCAAGAGGAAGAAAAGGAAAGAGAGAGCTGACTCCATTATCTTTTGCAGATGACATGACTGTTTATGTGGGGGGAAAGAATTCTCAAAGGATGAACCAAAACAAAAACAACAACTGCAGAACAAATAAACACTTTCAATGACGAAGGAAGCCCAGTTAATTGATACACAAAACTCAACTGCTTACCAGCTATGACCAGTTGGAATCTGACGCTTGAGACATGATGCTATTTACCTGGGCATGTCTCAAAAGCGAATTATCTAGGTACAAATACCATAAAATGTGTTCAACACCTGGGTGGGGACAATGACAAAGTTCAGGTGAAAGAAATCCCAATAGGAACTAAGTACATGGAAAGACATCCCACCTTCATGGAAGGAACAATGCCACATTGTTCCCATGTCAGCAAAGGGTTGTTTTTTTGTTTGTTTTTTTTTTAATCGTGCTAGCTGATGTCACCACCACCATATCTTCCCCAGTCTGATGCATAAAAATTCTACGAGTTGGGGCTATGGTAGAGTGCTTACCTCGCATGCATGAGGCCCTGGGTTCGATTGCTCAGCACCTCAGCACCAGCAGAAAAAGCCGGAAGTGGTGCTGTGGCTCAAGTGGTAGAGTGCTAGCCTTGAGCTGAAGAGCTGAGGGACAGCACCCAAGCCCAGAGTTCAGGCCCCACGTCCGACAGGAAAAAAAATCTGCAGGTTTACAGTTTAGAGTGCAATGTTGTGATACACATGAGCGTTGTGAAGTAATTGAAACTAATTAGCACATTTAACACCTCAAATACGTTTGTGGTATGTGGGCAAAGAATGGTTTTGGAGTGCACGGTGCAGACAGGGCATGTAGAGGCTGGCCTATAGTCACCACCACCAGTTCCAGGACACTTCCTTCTGGCACACTTGAGCCACTGACCCTTTCAAAGACCAAGATCAACAGTGCTGATCTCCAGTGAAAAGCTTTCAGTTGCCTCTCGCTGCTGCTTTAAGCCAGAGACCCCAATCCTCACCCCAGTGCCACTTGAGCTGCTCCTGCTCTGTGCTCCAGGAAGCCTTGGCCAATCCTTTCTAGAGTAGAGGCACCGCCCCCACAGCCTTGAGTTCAAAGCCTTGCTCTACCACTGAAGACTCCATGAGCCAGGCATGCTTTGCTTTCACTGCGACCCTATGACCTAAGGAAACTCACAAGTGAGTGTTAAATGAATGAGGGGGGGAGGGGGTAGAATGAGGTTTAAACTGTAATGGACACCAAGAGCTGTGGGGAATGAAGCACACAGGTTCCCTGCAAGATTGATTTGGGCTTTCTGTCCCGGTGGGTAATGCGGGACTTTCCCAAAGAGGCAGGCAGGGCTGGGGCTACCCCCTTTCCTCCCAGCTTCTCTTGCTGTGGCTCCTCTTCTGTCCTCCTGGTTCACCCAGGGCAGGTAGTGGAGCAGCAGATGCTCCTGATTTCTGAGCCAGTCACAGCCCAGACATCCCTTGCTGTCTCCAGAGAGCACCTGCCAGTATTTGCTTCTAAAGATATAGCTGTGGGGATGTGTGTCTCCAGCACATGTGTGCAAAGTATATGGGTGATGCAGATAGACAGGTGATAAATACACAGGCAGAAAAATGATAAATAAGAGATATCAGATAGAAACATGACAGATAGATAATAGATACAGAGCTTGATAGACGGTAGATAAACAGGGGATAGATATATATTAGATAGACATATTGAGACAGATAATAGATGATAGATATATTTGGATAGATAATATAGGACAGATAGATGATAGGTATTTAATACATGGCTCTGGCTCTCCTTCACCTTACATCTTGTTCTCTAATAATTCCCGCTGCCGCTGTGTACAGCAATCCTGTGTGTAAAAAGGCTCTGCCTCACGCACCACAGTGCCCCCCCATCCCTCCATTGCATCCTCCTTATCCCTCTATAGTGCTCCCCCTCATCCCTCCACAGTGCTCCCCCTCAGTCCTCCATTGTGGAGCAGGACCAGATGCTCCCTGCCATTGGCCACTCCATGTTGTACTCTGTGGCACCTGGGAGAGTCAGGAGGTGCAACCACTCATCCCATGCTCCCAGGCTGCTGCATGGAGGAGTTCCAGCTCCCGCCTGCTCAGGTCTGCTCCTTCCAGCCCCTGGGGAATCCCTGGCCCAGCACACACATTCCACATACCTCAGTCCTCCTCGGGGGTATGCCAGTGCTTCTCGCTCAGAGCTGCTGCCTCAGAGAACTGGTTCCCTCCTGGAGAAACAGGGAAATACAGGATGCACTTACACACACACACACATACACACACACACACACATACACACGTACAGGTTTGAGCACAGGTGCAGGGAACACTAGGACCTCGTGGAGATAAGAGGCTGCAGTGGCTCCAGCTTCTGTGTTCACCAGAGGCTCCGCACTGTGGCCTGTGTCACTCTTGAGGGTTGTAGCCTCATGGAAGGAAGCAAGGTCACCAGCAGTGTGTGGCAAGGGACACATATGATCTCTTCCACCTCATCCACCTCTTCCCCTCCTCTCCTTCTGCTTGCTGGCTGCCTCAGGGACAGCGATTCTGTCTGTCATGTGGCTCTCAGTTGATAGCTCCCCACCCCCTCAGCCCCAGCACAGAATGAAACCCCTAGGAGACCACAGCTAGCTGGAAGCTAGCTGAACCTTCCGTGCTTAGGAGCATGCATGGTCCAGGTTGGTCACTAACAGAAGAGAGGACAAAGGGGGTGGCTTAAGCAGTAGAGCACTTGCTGAGCAAACACAAGGCTCAAACACAACTGCTGAGGAACAAACAACAGGTCTGATGTAGTCCAGTAAATCCTGCAGCAGAATGCTGGCAGATAACAGCGTTCAATCTCATCTCCTTCCCTCCTGGCCTGGGAGGCACGCAGGGCAGAGACCAGGCTGCGCAGAGACGTCCAGGACCAGGGCTTGGGTTCCCTCCAGATCTGGGTCAGTGTGTCTGGCACTGTGGAGACTTCCTGGCGAGGACAGGAGACCCATGGCAGGCTGGGCTGGGTGGGGGCACATTTCCCGGCACCTCAGAAGAAGGCTGTGGAGCGCTCACATGGAAGGCAGCGGCTTGGGTGCTTCTGGAAGCTCATGGACCTGAGAAGTTCACTGTGTGCCTTGCAGAGCTGGCAGTTTTGTACAGACAAAGGAGTGAGGGTGAGGCAGAGAGATAGATAGTCAAACAGACAGACGGACAAGGAGACCACAGAACTGGGAAAGCTATGACATCTCTAAGAGAGCACTGAGGGCAGACCCTTGATGAGGAATTGAGGACGAAGTAAGTCAGTGGTCAGTAGCAATGGCTGCCTTCTGATGGGTAGGGAGGGGGATGTGGGGGGCAGT